AGACATTTGGCTGATGACCTAGATGGATAAAAAATGTGGGAACAGCAGTAGGCAATAAACGTTTACGGTTCAACGTTTTAGAAAAAAAATTCTTCTCAAAATGTTTCTCACACAACCTGTAATTCCGATGAAGACTGTTCACATCTATGTTACTCAAATCTTCCCTATTACAAGCTCTTAACCACATGTTGGCCCTAAAATATAAAAAAGTTGATAACAAATGTTTAGATTGACGGTAGTTCAGAAATTATATATTTTTTACATTATTTTTGTTGAAATTGTAAAAATTGTCCTCAAGACATTTAAATAATAAATATTTGGTTGTCAAATAAATATTTGGTTTTCAAATATAAAAATTGAAAGTATTTTCTCAAGACATACCTTTATGGCTCCATGGGAAATGCAAAATAACTTGTCCCTTTGTCTGTTTACTCTGTTTGAGATGGACAAGGGCGATAGACACATCTCTTTTTTTTTCTGATCAGGTGCAGAAGCCATTTCAAAAATATCACACAATAAATGAAAAACTAAAATAATAAAAATGTCTCAAAATATACACTGCAAACAAACAAAAATAATGTCATATTTACATCGCATTGACACTATTGACGTTGACGTTTTTGTCGCTTATTTTCGGACATGCGCAGAAAAATATGGACACCTCATAAAAAATGATCTGTCGCTACTGTATTATTCTTTATACTGGGCTTCAGGTCCCGGTCATGGACGTCAAGTGAAATATAATTTATCATTTGGGACTTTTTATATTTTGTTGGTGGAGTGATTTGAAATTAAAAATAGGTCATAATATGTCGTAGCTGTAAACTTAAATCAATACAGGAACATTTAATATGCAATTTTATGCAGACCTCTTGATGATCTAAGAGGTGATTCCTATAGACAGCTCTCAGTGACGTTATATATCATCCAACAGACGTTTTAAAGAGCTGTAAGGCAGATCTTAAATTCCCCTGAAAGATGCACAATGAGACTATTGAGGCCTAAGTGACATGGAGGGTCACCCCTCCTTAGATATACAGATCGCAAGAAATAGTATAGCCTTGCTGAAATCTTACTTCATTCTTAAATCAAACCATTAGAGGAAATAATATATTTAGTTCTGATATCTATTATTCTATCAGTAAATATACCTTACATTAATTTCTTGGTCTATTAAAATATTTCTTATCCAGGGTCCATATTTCTTTTTTAGCAACTAGTTGTTACGCTTAACTATCAAGAATATTTGGTTGCTTCCACTTTTGTAACCACTAGTTGTTACAGATTTTACTTAGAGAATTCTGATTTTCTCAAAGTGTTAATACAACAACTGACCTTGATCATAGCTACTTGGTCAGTAGCATAACTGTATGATACAGCATAGACTGATTTAGCAATCGTGGATACTAGAATAGCTACTTGTGTCAAAGTTGTTATATACAGTTGCTATGAAAGTGGTAAGATAGCAAGTGGTTAGAAAGTTGCCAGATAACTCTAGTTACTGAATAGACCCCATAGGGTATACAGATATTTTTATATTTCACACGTGCGATAGAAATAAGTTTGTTATGACTATCTGAGTTTAGTAAAATTTTTCTATCTATAAATAATTAATGACCTATAGAGATAATAATTTCGTATAAAATAAATTTTATTATTTTCTTCTCTTGAAGATTGGTCGGAACTGACCAAATGCACCTTACAGCCAGGACCAAAATAAATATTATTAAGTTCGTCTTTTGTAGAATAAGAACGTATATCGTTTTGTCTCTACTTTGAACCTGCTCCGAAAAGTAACACATTTTCGGTGAGGAGTGGATCATTTTGCGCCAGTGATAAGTAAAAAGCAGTCACAAAACCTGCTACTGTGAAATAGCAACCCATCTCTACAGGTCGTTGAAATACCTATAATCATTGCGTTCGGTCTGCCAAGTTCCTTTAACTCCTTTAACACTTTTAACTCCAAACGACCCTTTTACCGTTAGGTTTAGTCCGATTAGTGACAGTTTAACACGCTTAAATGTCATTTAAAAGCACCCTAAAATTTGTCCCGCTCCAGCACCTGACTGACCGACCGAACTCGCCTAGTGCTGCGTTTTTGAGAATCCACATCGGATTACTATTTCTATGCATCGGATGCATTTTTTACATCTCGAGCGTTTTTTTATCCACATCGGACACATCTATCCCATTACGATTGCTGCGTTTGAGAATCCACATCGGATGCATTTTTTACATCTCGAGCGTTTTTTTATCCACATCGGACACATCTGTCCCATTACATTTACGTATACTGAACCACGTGATCAAAGATTTTTTACATCTCAGATGCATCCGATGTGGATTCTCAAACGCAGCAATTTACGTATACTGAATCACGTGATCAAAGATTTTTTACATCTCAGATGCATCGGATGTGGATTCTCAAACGCGGCATTAAATTGTAAACATAAAAATCTTTCCATATCTTGTGCAAATGAATATGGACACAATAGTAGTTTGTGCAACAAGAGTGGATATGATGGTTCAAAACGTCTCGGCGAGATATGGACAATCCATTCTACATCCCACTAACGAAAGCCTACAAATTTAAAAAATATTTTAGGTTATTAAGACAAAATAACTGATTTTAAAATAATTTATGAATTTTAATAATTTATAAAATAAAATAAACATAAAAAAGATTAGTCCCCAGCCAGGATTCAATCCCGAACTTTTCGGCGTGGAACGCAGTAGCTCTGTCCTCAATTTTAGTCTTAATACTCGTAATTAAGTTAGTTTCATTATTCAAATTTAATTTTTTTTTTTCAATTTGTGGACAAAATAAAAATGCTATTATTTATCGATTTTACATATAAATTGCTCATTCTAATGTATATTTAATTTCAATTACTAAAAAAATTTACTGGCAATTAGTTTGTCAGAATTATCACTTAAAAAATATATTTTTCTGCACCCACATGGATATTAGCTTACTATGCACAGACTACAAAACGGAAAAGTATGCTATTGCGTGCAACTGAATGAATATATTTTATATCCATTCTAGGTAGTGAGAACACTGCAAAAAATTAAATCCACCAATCACAGTTCATATATTGGACACCCAAGCACTATTTTTAAAATTTTAAATAAGTGACAATTCTGTCAAACTAATTATCAGTTTATTTTTCAGTTATTGGGATTAAATATACATTAAAATTAGTTATTTTTTTTGTAGAATCGATAAATAATAGCTTTTTATTTTTATTTGGTACACATTTTGAAAACAAATTTAAAATTTATTCAAACCATATAAAACTAAATATTAAAACTAAAATCCTAGAAGTGTCGGTGGAGGCGAGGACAGAGTGTGCCTTCTACTTCCACGCGAAAAGCCCGGGGACTAATTAAATTAAATAATTTTTTTTCATATTTACTTTATAAATTAGTAAAATTTATAATTATTTTAAAATTAGTTATTTTGTCTTAATAACCTAAAATATTTTTTTATATTTGTAGTTTCGTTAGTGGGTCGTAGAAAAAATATACTGTGCAACTCGAGTGGATTTTCCATATCACACTCAGACGATTGAGCGCTCCACCTACGGTATCATGCACAAACTTCGTCTACGTCTGATACGGCCATCATAATTATAAAATATTGTTAGGACAAGGAAAATTATTAGAAATGAATTGCTGTACTTTTGATATAATAAATAGTTGGATAGTAAACTTTTTGTGCGACTTGACAACCAAAAAACGTAAAAGTAGCATCTCTGAGCTTAGATTTGAAACAATTTGTGAAATATTAAAAACAAAATGAATTGTGTCTTTATTATTAATTTATGCAAGATATGGAACTAAGACTTTTGTTTACAAAAGTGATACACACTATGCTTTGTTTTTTCATAAGCGAAAACAGCTCAATCTAGATAATGACATGTTCTGTGGTTGCTCATTGCAATTGTTAATATTAAGAATATGATTCCAATTTAAAATTAAACTAAAATACCCTTACGGGAAGGAACTTAATAAAGTAGGCATCACCAGTGATATACACAAGTATGTAAAAATGGTAGTTCAGTTTGATTAGTGGAATTAAAATTATGTTATCACTAATTTATCCTATTTAAATTAAATAAGTTTCCATTACTCACTTATTACACTAGCTATAGACGGTCTTAGGGTCCGATTACAATAAGAACACCGCTACATCATAACTATTATTTCCAATTTCAAATATACAGGGTGTTCAATAAGTACAGTACATAAGTTCAGGAGCGTATTCTGGAGCTAAAATAAAGGTATTTTTGTCATATAAACTATGTCTCAAAAATGCTTCGTTACGGAATACAGGGTGTGAAAGTTTTATAAAAAAAATACAGTTATTTAAATATTTCCAAAACCACTTGATATTTTAATTAAATTTTTGTAGCTTTTGAGAGTTAGCAACTTTGCGTTAAAATATCTTAAGTGGTTTTGGAAATATTTAAAAAATTGTATTTTTTTATGAAACTTTCACACCCTGTATTTCCGTAATGAAGCATTTTTGAGACAGTGTATATGACAAAAATACCTTTATTTTAGCTCCAGAAGTTATGTACCGTACTTATCGAACACCCTGTATATCATCTATAACTATCAATAAATAAAATGTGAGTTGTTTGGTTTAAAAATATTATTCTTACATTTTTATAATATTAACATGTCACTAATCCACCAGTAGGCGACGATAGCCAATGAATTGCTCCACCAATTGATGACTTAGCTGTGTTCATCTTATTGTAATCAGAACATACTAAAAATTATTCATTTTTCTTAGTGCCTGCTACACGTCAGTTTTGTTAGCACATTACAGAGGTATGCATTTGGAATCCATTTAATAGAGCCAATAATTAAAGATCAATTATTTCTTTTAAAGTGTCTTATTTTTTACCCTGTTGTGCCATACCTACTACTTTTTGAAAAACACAATTTAATCAAATTCATCATTTTAAGGATATAATAAAACTATATTGCTCTCTACTAAATAATTTTGAGTAATTTAATCAAAAACAATATTAAATATTTAAAAAATAAAAATTATATACACAATATAAAATGCAACTATTGTTTGGCATTGATAATTTGAATAAATTCTGGTTTCAAGGAAGCCCCACCAACCAAAAAACCATCAATATCAGGCTGAGAGGCCAGCTCTTTGGCATTGGCAGCAGTAACGGATCCACCATACTGAATTCTTACTTGCTTGGCTACATTTCCATCAATTTGTGTAGCTATGTACAATCTTAGTGCTTTGTGTACATCCTGGGCTTGTTGTGGGGAAGCTGTCTTACCAGTTCCAATAGCCCAGACAGGTTCATAAGCAATTACGACATGCTTCCAATCTTTGATCTTACAAGCGATGGCCTGGATTTGTCTGAATACCACTTCTTCAGTTTTACCAGCCTCTCTCTCCTGTAATGTTTCTCCAATGCAGGCAATGACTTTTAGACCATTCTGTAGAGCAAACGCCACCTTTTCAGCTACCAGTAGGTCAGATTCACCAAAAATTGCTCGTCTTTCAGAGTGCCCCAAGATCACCCACTTCACGCCAATGTCTTTGAGCATAGGTGGTGAGATTTCGCCAGTGTAGGCACCGTTTAAGGCCTTGTAGCAATTCTGTGCTGCTACTTCAACAGTTTGTGGAACACTTTTGGCTACATACTCCAGATAAGGCGCTGGAACTCCAACTATAACCTCTGTAAAGTCATTAATAGGGCCTTTTCTTAGGAAGCCTAGGATTTCGTCGATTTGAGATTTGGTGCCGTTCATTTTCCAGTTACCTCCGACGACAAATGTTCGGGGACATGTTGATGGACAGGTCATCTTGATTGTAGTGTGTAGGTGTCTAAAAAATATATAACTTATTTTACACATTTATTTTTTCCAGTTCTATTTTAATATGATTGTGATTTCCTACGAAACTAACCCTGCTAGGGATTATTTAATAAAAGGTAATAATATTTTATGTGTGCTGTGACAAGTGTTTACATAATTTTATACATACTTTTGTTTTTTTTTAATTATGTATCCGTTAATAAAGTTATTTATAATATAATTATAACATTAGCTAAACTAAACTATTTTACCTACCTTCAATTTTGAACTGCAGAAATTTTAAAGCCGAATAAAGGTCGTTCGGAGGTCGTCAAATAAAAATTCCGACTCTCCCTTTCACAGAAATTTTGAAACGACAGATGACACTGGCACTGTTGACAGGTATTCTACTGCAAGGAATAACTATTAATAACAGGATAGCTTACTTCCAAATATGCGTTTTTAAGTTGAAAATATCTATATTACGAGTGTTTCCAAGTACCATGAAACAAAAAGCAGGTATGATACTTAGGACCATAGATCTTAGGACCGATTCAACCGTTGTGTTAAACGAAATTTAAAATTACATTTTTACATTAACGTCATTTTAATCTCCGTTTAACACAACGGTGGAATCGGTCCTTAGCCAACGAAATCTCGTCGAGTTCGCGCATGACGTATGTGGTGTGGAATATGGTTATCATGTTATTCGATTGGCCATGAGCAGATTAAAATTTATTTTCGCGCGTTGTTTTCGATCAGTTGGTAGGTCAAATTCGTAAAAGCCACGCCTTCCACCACATTACGTCACCGTGACGTATAGTATCAATCTGCGTAATATAATTTTTTATACTTAGTCACGCCGTGACTTAGTTATATCATATAGTATAGTACAATCTGCTCTATCACTTTTTTGTCATTTGACTTATCTAATTAAATATGTACATGAACCAGGAAAAAGCAAAAATAATGTAAGTAGTTACTTTAAAATTCTTGTTAATAATTTTTTAAAAAGTAATATCTAAGATCTATATTTAAAAATTATTAACAATTTAATCATCAAATTGATTTTACTATTAAAATGGGTATTACAACAATCAAAATAGAAATTAGACGTCTGATACAATCGACAGCTTATGTAGAAAGTAGATATATTCACACACGAGTGGCAAGCGATCTCGAAAAACTAAATAAGACAATATACTTGAGGCATATGAGTCAAGCTGTCCCATTCAAACAAATAGAACAAGTAGGGATGCTCCTTGGTGCAACCCTAATCACTCAAACTTACGATTCGAAGTGCGGAAGCTCTATGATAGGGGCCAAGCACAGCGGAGATTGGCAGATATACACTGAGACATTTACCACCTACAACAAAGAAATCAGGAAAGCTAAAAATGTAATAGCTTCAGGAAATTCTGCGAGGAGATTAACTCTACACCTTCGGCATCGAGACTGCACAAAGTCCTGGCAAAAGGGAGAGTTGATAGATGTATGGCGTTAAAGAAACCAAATAGAAGCTTCACGGAGAGTCAGGAGGAAAAAACTCGCCTCTTACTCGAAAATCACTTGACTGGGATCATACCTTTTCTAAGAAGAGACACAACTAAGGTAAGCAGACCCTCAAGAGAGGCCCTGCTTCGGCAAACACAGAAAGAATTACGTACCACACATAATCCGGATATCCCGGAGCAGTGTGGAACTGGGATATGTAACAGATTCATGGAGAAGGGCTAGAGCCACCTTAGGATACCAAACATCCTAAATCCTTCCGACACTCGAGATATTGATGAAAATATTAAATAGTAACTGGCCCAGAATGGAACCCTGAGGGACTCCAGATGTTGTTGAAAAATTGACAGACTTAAATCCATTAAGCTGTACAAACTGAGTACGATTTACTAAATAGCACTGAAAGAGATTTATCAAAGGGGAGGAAAACCCAAACCCTGTAAGTTTTCCAAGATGAATATCGTGGTCAAGTCTGTCAAATGCCTTGAAGAAATCTGTGTAGATGACATCCATATTTGGGCGCGTTTATCAATAGATTCAGCAATGTATTGTGTGACGGTAACCAGGTTGGTTACTGTTGAGCGACCATAAATCTATGTTGATTGATATCATTTTACTAACATAATGATATAAGGTCCTTTCCAATAAAATTGCATATTATTGATATATTGGTCTGTAATTGGTTATATCTCTTTTATCCCCCTTTTTGAAAACTGGACATACTTTTGAGGTCTTCCAAATATCTGGAACAGTTGATGTCCTAAGGCATATATTTATATATCGGGTCGATGGTGTAGCGGTCTATCGCGCTTATATTCATTTATAGGCGAGTTTATGAGTCCGAGACTGCTGGGCTTCGAATCCCAGACCAGACCATTTTAATTAAATTGCATGGTTCGGTTTAGGATTTGATGTGTGCCGTATTAATGGAAATTCAATTTCTGTTGATATGACATGCAGATTATAAAATCGCCATACATTATCGTCTCGATGATGGTGGGTGAGGTTTTCCGGGTTTTCCTCACCTGTAAGTCAAATGGCACCATCAATCATCCTTAAGTCGCCCCGGAGCGCCACGGCAAATAATAATAATAGCCGTCCCTTCCCCTACACAAGTCGTTCAGTCGACTTCAGGGGTTGAAATTCACTCGTCAGGGGGTGAATTAGGGAGAGTATTATTATTATTATATTATATTATAAGGGTGGCTAACGGAGGAGCAAGTTGAAAGGCACACAATCCTTTAAAATAAAAGCTGGAATATGGTCTGAACCAGTTGTCTTTTTAGGTTTAATAGACTTTTAGAGCTTTATATACCTCTTTTTCGGTAAAACTATTGACATTTAGGAACGGAACATTGAGTCGTGAATTTGAATTAGCAATAAACGGGCTAGAGGTAATATATGACTGTTTGAAGAAGTCAGCAAATCCATTAAAAATATCTAATGGAGTTTTTAGTGAATTGTTGTCATAAGACATTGTTTAAGGAGGTCCTTTCGACACCAATGTTAAATAAAAAATATTAGATTATGACTAAAATTAATTTTTTTCTAATAGTTGAAGTCCTTATTTATCTAATAGTGAACTTTTATCTACACCTTACCGTGCAAATTTTTGAGAAAAAAAAAATTAAAAATGTGAGTATTTGTACAGTGTCTTACGAGAAAGTAAGACTTCAACAACAATTTTCGAATTATAATTAAGTATACTATTATTTATTGATTAGATGGAGTAGAAAAAACTAAAAATAAGGTTTTTGAAATATTTAGGTTTTGTTTTTTACAATAAAATATATAGGTTACCGTGGAATTTATTGAGAAATTAATATTAAAAAATCATAAAAAATTAACTAGGTTACTTGTTTTTTTTTTAATATGAATTTGTCAATAAATTCCACGGTAACCTATATATTTTATTGTAAAAAACAAAACCTAAATATTTCAAAAACCTTATTTTTAGATATTTTCTACTCCTTCTTATCAATAAATAATAGTATAATTCGAGAATTGTTGTTGAGGTCTTACTTTCTCGTAAGACACTACAAATACTCACATTTAAAAAAAAAAAAAATTCTCAAAAATTTGCACGGTAAGGTATAGTTAAAAGTTCACTATTAGATAAATAAGGACTTCAATTATTAGAAAAAAAAATTAATTTTAGTCATAATCTAATATTTTTTATTTAACATTGGTGGCGAAAGGGGTGGCGAAAGGACCTCCTTAAGGGGATTTGGATTGTGATTTCTTACTATTTATAAATGGCCAAAATTTACTTGGATTACTATATATCTCTTGTTCAGTCTCTTTAATATATGCTCTGTAAGAAATCTCTAGTCCTAATTTTAAAGCAGCTCTTGTGCGTTTGAAGTCTTCAAAGGCTTCTAAATCATTTTCTCGTTTGTATTTTTTCCACGTATTAGTTTTGACGCCTAACTGATTGATTATTTCTCTATTAAACCATGCTGGATATTTGTTCTGATGCTTGCAGGAATATTTGGGACAACATTTATCAAAAATATTATATAATTTTCCATAAAAGCATGTACAAGCGTCTTCTGTATTATTAAAGGCTTCTAAAATGGTCCAGTCAATACTGGAAATTAAATTGTACATTAGTGGACAATTGGCATTTTTGAAATTATAACAGTTTTTTACTTCCAAGTAACAAGTGATGTCCAGAGCAGGATGATGTTTATCTCTTCCACTACAAATGGATCAAGCGATTTTTCTACTAGACATTTATCATTAAAGAAGATTAGATCTAATAGCCTATTATTATTATTAAAGATAAAGTTAGACTGAGATAAATTAAAAAGTTGAGAGAAGTCATTGGTTATTGAAATTTGTTTGTTACTTTTGCCGTTACTAAGATATTCTGCATAGTTGCTGATATTAAAATAACCGATAACTAACAAGAAACTGTTATAATAATAAATTTAAGGAACACAAAGCTTCAAAAAAATGTTCAAATTCAGTATGGGACGTTTGTGGTGGAATATATATATTTATTAAAAACAAATGAGATGACATGGTTATTTTTACTAGAACTATATCAACATATAGAAATGTAGGAAAATAATATTCATTTAAATTTACTTGTTCAGAAATAATATCACGTACTCGAATTACTAGACCGCCACCTCTAGTCAAGAGTTTTGCAAAAAATTCCGAATTATTGACTGATGAGTCAAGCCAAGTTTCACAAAAACAGTACCATCGCTTTGAGCTATCGTATTAAATATCAGATTAGTTTTTGTTTTTAATCCTCTGGTATTCTGATAAAATATAGATAAACTTTCTGACCTCATTTTAGTATCTGGTTTTACCTGTGGAACATGTAGTATGCGAAATATTTGATTGCTAAATTGTGACAAATAACTTATCTTTAAATTTTTTATACATCTGGGAATATGCTGTACGTTTTTCTTTTCCCCAAACCACATGATTAATATCGACATTCTTGTTGGTTAGTTTCGCACAATTGGAGCATTTTTTGACGCTAGACTTACAATCCTTCAATTCATGTGCTTCTCCACATAGAGGACAGGAAACAGCCTTATTGTGAGGAAGTGAGAAAATTCATTGCATTTATAACAGCGACAGCGGAATAGTTCAACAGCATCATATACCTAGACTACGCAACTATCATATCCGACAAATAGGTTTCCTGAATTCAATGCACGCTCATATACCGCCTTATAAATACTGTGAAAATAAAACTCAAGTAGCTTTGTAACAATATTTATTTTGGAAAATAATTGTGAAAAGAAATGTTTTCAATAAAGACGTGACCATCAATAATAAAAGTACAACGATAGATTAAACAAATTCATCTTCATAAGACGTTTTTTTTTTATAAACAATTAAAATATTTCAATAGTTCTATCTAAAAGTTTTTTCTATACAAGTATAATATTAACAGTCGTTTTTATCAATGTAGTATAGAATTCGATGATGATACTATACATATAGGTATCTATACATATAAACATATTTTTTATAAATAATTTAAACTGCTGTTCGGAAGCTTAAAAATCAAGAAAAGGAACTCTTAAAAAGGGTACTCGTATTTATTAGTTCATATTATTAGATATACGTATATGTCAAAATAAAGTTTAAGGATTTATTTTT